GAGTTACCAGTACCAAGATTTTTAGTAAAGCCCACAATCCAGTTTCCGTCACTATCCCTTATTACTCCACCACAGTCCATTCTCTTAGTGTTCCACTTACAGGCACCGTCAGTATTAAGCTTCCACCAGCCCACATCAGGGAACCTCCAGATAATCAAGGTTTCAATTCTACTACATGGTTTGATGCCAGCCAAAGAGAGGGTATCCTGAGCAAACGTAAATAATCACTCTTCATCATGGAATAACCACAACATAAAATGTTGTCTTTTTATGCTGAATGAGGTGATTTTGTATGTTTATGCTAAATGTGGTTATTCTATGTGGAGAGTGATTATTCAAATACGAATAACTTTTTTTAATACAATTTTTTCACACCAATTGATATTCTGTTTATAAAATGGATAAACAATATTTCTCCCCTTTATTTGCAACTAAATTACCTTTTCACATCGTCTTTTCAATGAATTTGTATTTATGAAGCAAAATCCAAAATTGCAGGTTACATCCAAAAAGAAAAATGTGGCAGATGAAGCTGGGGTTATTTTGCAGGCAAAATTGAAGCAATTAGCATCTTCATCCTAAAAGTAGTTGGTGTAGAATTCAATTGCTTTTCTTCCAAAACATTGTACCATAGAAAATCATAAGCAGTGGTGTTAAGGTCAGTGATGTTATATGTCGTTTAAAGCTTTTATTAAAGCAATGACTATTGAAATTTAGAGGGTATTAAGGGAATGAGCTGTGGTCTTTCAATTACATATTCTCTAATTAGAGCAGACTATTGAGCAGCCCTTATTCTTTGCTGGCCTTTCTGGCATAATATTTCAGGCGTGTTCTCATTTTACTAAAGTTGATTCACATTATTGTGTTTCTGAACTCTGAAGGGAAGGTAAGGGTGCCTTCATATCTAATCATCCTTTCTCTTTGTCAATATTATAAGTATAGCCAAACGAATATAATTACATGAGGGCACCCTTTTCTAACTTATTAAAGGATTTGTTCCTTTTTTTTTATGAATGATTGGTCCTTATACAGTTATACGTTACAAATATTAATCTGTTAAAAAAATAAAATAAAAAATACAACCTGGGGTTGCATTAATCCATCTATCAATATTCAGTCACCAAAGGCATCTTAATCCAGCCTATAGGTAAGACACCAATTGTTACAAACATTGAGGTCATCATCCCAAAAACTAGCTCAAAGGGTGGGAGTACCTACTTTCGATACCTACTTTATTAATATAAAATTTTGTTGTCTCTATCTCATACCTACGAAAAAAGCGTTTATCCTTTTAAATGACACAACTTATATTATTTCACTCTCACAAAGAGGTGGGACTCACAACTTTATTTTTTTTTTTTTTTGGAAATACAACTTTATTTTTTTTTTGTCAACTCTCTCCTCCTTTATCTATCTCTATCTCTCTTTTCAAATGACACAACTTTACATCATTTAGAATGATACACACTTTTTCCCATAACTATTATCTTCGCATCCGAAAACATAAAAGCCGCAATCGTACAAGTAATCAACAAGGTGTTTATTGTATTTTACGCATATAAAGTAGTAAAGTACACATGATATATTTGTAACTATCACCATAATCATCACGGTGGATTTCACCATAGCAAGAGAAACTCTCTTAAAGGCTACTTTATATGAGTTTAGTTCTAGATCGATAGAAAGAAGTGTTTTATAAGGCTATGCAACTCTCCTTATATATCTTGTCTGGACCCGAGAAACTAGCATAAGGATAACTTTACTATGTTTATCAATTTTGTAATAGTCGAAGTAGTCAAAATCGTTATTTTTTTTAAAGATTGCAATCTTCCTGTTCACACTTTGGAACTCAGAGAGTAAGATTGTAGGATCGTGACCCTGCAGCAAAAAAACTCGTATTTGAAGGCTCACACTCACCCGACCGTAAAAACCTCACTCTTAGCCTATTTTCAAAACACGTTTTGTTTTTTTGACTGGTTTGACACTTCTGATATTGCTAGTTCGACTCTCTTCTGTTGTTCTGCTCTTCACTTTTGTTTGCTATTCTTTTTATGCGCTATAAAATACTCATATCTTTTAGGCGACGGTTATACTTACAACTAAGTAAGTTTATCACCCTTATAACCAATCTCATCACCGTTGGATTAGAATTAAATCTAATGGTTCATAATTATCCATTATAATTCTAATTTTTTTTCTCTCATCCCTTCTCCGTCTCTCTCTAGGTTTGCAATCTGCATATCTCTCTAAGTTTGAGAATCATCTCTCTTATCTACTCTTCATTGTTACAGCGATTTGATCTTCAGTAAAAATATCTCACTAAGATGAATAATTGGACCGTGAGTCAATTTTTTCTTCATCCTCTTTTTTCATCGTCGCTGATCGCAATTCTTTTTAAAGCTTTCATCCACATGTACATTATTTGATAAACAATTCTTCCATCGTTGCTGATTCTTAATTCTTCCATTACTTTTTTTTATAAACAATTCTTCCATTACTGATGAAATACACTAATTCTCAACTCTCACATACTGCTCACACGTGACCATTAACCAACTCTTTCTTACAAGCGGAAAACAAAAGTGTTTCTTTCATTACTGAGAATGCAAAAAGTTATTAAGTTACAATGAAAGACACATACTTATAGTCTGTTAGAATTAAGCCTACGTTTTACAAATGTAACTGAAACAGAAAGAAAGATTAACTACGTGTAATCTAATCTGTCGTAGTTAATTCTAATCTTTTACACGTAGACAGATTAGAATTAATCTTTTATGGTCGCAAATATCAGCTTTGAAAAAATTGTCTTTTACACCACACCCAGCTTTCTCCAAGTGTTCTCTCAAAAACCTCACCGTTGGAGCTGTCAAAGACCAATGAAATGAATCCACCAAGTAACAAATTATCATTTGCAACTGATTCCTCAATGAAAAATTGCATTTCCAATGGTGATGAAAGTGTGATTATTTATTCAACTTTCTCAAGCAAATATTCAGAAATCTCAAAACCCAATTCGAAAATAAACTTTTGGAGAATAATGAAATGAAAAAGCAAAAGCAATATGAATCAGAACACACCCCATAAACTTTTTTTTTCTTCTTCCCTAACACTGATTGCACTGAAAAAAAAATACTACTTTCAAATGGTGAAATTTGAAAGTTCACATTTTCCTTCAGCAAATACTCAAAATTTTCAAAACCCAATTTGAAGATAAACCTCATTCGCGAGAAAAAAAGGGATTAAACTTAAAAAAGAAAATAAGAGTGGTATAACAAAACCCTAAACCCTATTAAGATGTTTCAGTTTATTGATGGAGAAAGGTAAAAAAGGAAAATGAAGAAGGAAGAAGAATTGAGATACTTTGTAAACTCTTGTGAATCATGGCTTGGCATTCCTCCACAGTTTTGGTTCCTTGGGTATGAACAGAGGAAATGGGTTTCTCTGCCAATGCTTCGTAGTTAATCTTTCTTTCTGTTTCAGTTACATTTGTAACACGTAGGCTTAATTCTAACAGACTACAAGTATGTGTCTTTCATTATAACTTAATAACTTTTTGCATTCTCAGTAATGAAAGAAACACTTTTATTTTCCGCTTGTAAGAATTACTTTAACAATTCATTCTTTATTAAAAAGTCATTACTTTATAGCAAATGGATAATAGTTGAGTCCTGGGAGGATAAAAAAGGTTGGGTGTTGTCCATGGGGCATAAGACCAATGAAGAGAGGATGAAGCAATGTTTTGTAACGATGGTAAAAAGAAATTGGGTGTTGTAAGATGGTAAAAAGGATAAAAAAAAAGATAATTTATCCATGTACAATCTCCGTAACGATGAAGAGAGAATTAGAGAGGTAATTTCCAAACTTAGAGAAAGACAAAGAAAGGATGATAGAGAAAAAATTAAAATTATAAGAGATAATTATGAACCGTTAGATTTAATTCTAATCTAACGGTGATGAGATTGGTTGTAAGGGTGATAAACTTACTTCGTGGTAAGTATAACCATCTCCTATCTTTTAATATTTTAAGTTGTTAATGTATAACTTCAACTTAGACCTGAGTTTGTGACTTACGAGTTAAATATGATCTTATACAATTTCAATCCAAATTTAATTAAATTTTAGTAGTAATTAACAATGGGGTAGGATATTATAACAATCAATTAGGATTATTATCAATGTAACTACCAGTCAATTTCACTGTTAGATCGATTATATTGATCCAATAGTTATATTTATTTCCATCTTTGTATAGTTATGATTCCTTATATTTAATACTTTATATTTATTTTCACATTTGTATGGTTATGATTAGGGGTGTTAATGGACCGAGCCGAGCCAAACTTTGGTCTTAAAAGGCTAAGCCTGTGATTAAATGTGTCGGCTTTACCAAGCCTGTTACCTGTTACGAATATAATTATCGGCCTGTGGCCTGCCTTATTTACAAAAAATAAAAGCCTGATTTGGCCTGTTAGAAAAAAATAAGACAATAAAAATTTATCTAAACAGAATATACAATGAACAACACTAGTAATTCCATAAATATTCATAAATTCAATGTATATCGAAACAACATAATATAGAACAAAATCATTCAAAAAGTTTGTTTAACTAAAAAAATAAGGGTGAAATGGATTGAGAGGAGAGAGAGGGCTATTACATAAATAAAAATAAAAATTAATATATTATGCCAGCCTGAGAAGCTCCAAGGCCGAGCTTTTGAATTGTAGCCTGAGGCCTTTTTACTAAACGAGCTTTTATACAAGTCCAAGTCTGGTTCCAACAACCAATATTAGGCATGTAAGCCTGAGCCTTCACGAGCCGAGTCAAAGACCCCTGGCTCGTTTATCACCCCTAGTTATGATTCTCCATGCTTAATGTGAAAGCATTAAATATAGATAATCATAACCATACAAAGATAAAATCAACATAATCAATCTAAAGATGAAATTGATTGATAATAACATTGATAGTAACTCTAATTGATTGTTACAATACCCTACTCAATTAACAATTAGTATCAAGTTCTTTCTCTATCCTAGAAATTTTTATTACATAAAAAATTACAGATAATTTTGTGTTCTAAATACAATCTTACGAACCCATACTACGATCTCACAATTTGTTAATTATTATATTAAGGTCACCCCATATCGGTGTTTCCTCCCCACTTACGATTATAAATAGGGCTCAATTTCCACTGTCTAGATGATACATGTCAACATTCATCATGAACTAATTAAACACCTTTTGTCCATTTCTTTCCATGATTCCAACTCCATCCTCTTCCCAAAATGGAATTGCGGAGGTACAGCTCCCTATCACAAGACATAACAAAAGATGGTTTTCAGGATTCTCCCTATAACTTAATGATTAAAATCCTATCATCTGCCCCCAATATTCATCTCACAAAGGATGCATCACAGATGGATAAATCCAAATCATTTATCAACAAATGAAGATTCTGCAAGCTCAATGGCACGGGCAAGGGCTGCAGCTTTGTTTTCACATTCTCTTTGTTCATCAGCTGGGTCACTGTCAGCCACGATTCCTGCTCCAGCCTGGAGATGGGCAACCCATTCTCTGCGTTTGTTCACATCCTTATACGAGTACATTGTGTCAAAACGAGTATTAGTTGGGAAAACTATGGTTCTCAGAGCAAGGGCAATGTCCATATCACCAGAAAAAGATATGCCTCCAAATCCCCCACTATATGGCCCACGTCTTGCGACTTCCAACTGATCAATCAACTCCATGGCTTTCACCTGTTGTACAGCACAGATAAAGATAACAATTTAGGACCAAAAAAAAAAACTCAAACCAAGACTGCAATCTTAAGTTGGTGACAATCAACAAACGGTATCTAGCGGTTGTTCTCACAATGTTAGTGAGAACCCCCCACCATCCCATCTTTCTCTCAACAATCCCCATGTATTAAGCACAAGGAATATCAGAAAGGGAAGTGCCAAACTATACCAGAAACTACATCAGCGAGGAGAAAGAGACTGCAAACACCTAGGCTATAGCCTTGAAGGATGCTAAGATAGATTTACCTTTGGTGCTCCACTAACTGTACCAACAGGTAATGCAGCTCGCAATGCATCCCAACTTGTTAAGTGATCCAGTAACTCCCCAGTGACCTGCAAAGACAGTTACAGTTTTCCATTATCCGTAACAAGCTTCTGCACTAAATTCATTTTTGCCAAACCGGACAATAGAATTTGGACTTTGGCAGAAATAATTGGAACCAAGTAAAACCAGAAGGGACTCTAGCTCACTTGCTTCCACATATCAGAAGATAAAAACCTTGTCAGTCAGGGTTATGAATCTACAAATAATGTTAGTATCAATCCCTTAGGCAAATTGACAAATATACAAGAGTTGATCTTAGAGGAGACTTTGGGTTTTCAAAGGGAATTATGACGAAGAAATTCTGTATACTTGGAGACAAAATAACAAAATAGAAGAATGACTTTCCGTCAAACACACCAAAAGAATCAATAGTGCAGGTAAGAGGATAAACAAACAGAATTGAGCAAAAGCTAGCGGGAATCCTATTGACAAGCTTTTGTGTCATTTAATTAATGAAAAAATTGAAGTTCCAAGAAAAGTGAATGGGAAACACAACCCATGCACCATAAACAATTTACTGCCCTTTAGATTTTGCAGACTAGTATATACACTAAATATGTTGTAATGAAAATCTTGAGAAGTTAAAAAATATTAAAGGAAAGACAAAGGCCATTTCTAACAGGAATCATAAAAAAATCTTAAATAACCTACTGATAAAAGTACTAATACATCATAATTTATAAAAAAGTAGTTATATTGAATAAATATGTTGTATTTATTCATATGAATCAATTGAATAACTCATGGATTTTCTATCTGAAGGATATGAACATCAATTGCATCGTGCCCAAGCATAGATACAACTCTCCATCTACATGTGTTGTTTAGGTTTCAATTCATTTCCGACCAACTTCAGCTTTATGCTTTTAAACGTGAAAATGCAGTGAATATTGAAATACTCTCGCTGAAAAATGAGAACCTAATTTTAAAATTAAAAGATCTTCATATTCAAAATCCCTTGAAATAAGCTCCCACGGAAAATTTCTTGGGAAAAAATATACTGAATTAAAGTATAGGCCTTCTTGGTTTCAACTTCGAAAGGTCTAAGATTGGAAAGCTATTGGTCAGTATTGAAGCAGATGTCATTAAATCTAACATTATAGGAGCTCAGGGAGTTTATTCTTCAATTTGAAAAGAAAGACCCCAAAAACAGAAAATTTGAAGATTACAGATTATGTGTAATATATCATATATGAAATCGAAATAGAAAAATCTCTAATGAAATGGGTATTACTTTTCAAATTTATATTGTTGAAATGAAATTTGAGGGAAAGATTATATATATATATATATTCGAATTCTTATAATTTGCAAGAAAGAACTTACCGTTGAACTTATGTGCATAACATGGGAATAGCGCTCAATATTCATAAGCTTTTCAACTTGAACAGAACCGGGTTTGGAGACCTGTATATTCATTCATCTTGTATTAAGCACATGTCTACGAAAATAAAAGAAATGGTTTACTCATCATGCACAATTCAGTAAAAGAGTAAAACCATTAGGATCATAAGCTACCAAACTGTAGAGAAACTATAAACCATTAGGATCATAAACTACCAAACTGTAGAGCAACTATGGAATGCATGTAAAGATATAGGTTCAATAGCAAGACAGCATATATGCAATGGTTAACATTATGAAATTTTGACTCAGTTAACAAGGCACGTGAGATTGGAATTTTTTCTTTGCACATATCAAACAAGGACCATCCTCTAAAATTCCTGTGTCTACAAAAGCAAGATCTAGTGCTGAAGATAAAGATTTTGCACATCAGATGATTTATATGATAAGAGACATTTTATGAAAATAAAAAAGGAAGCTACCATCAATCAATCTTATAAAGTCCAAGATGATTTACATCAGCATTTTGTGGAGTTTTACTAAAGTTAGTGGACATGGTGATGGAAAAGATTTGATGAAAATGATATCCTTAAAGCCAACACATCACTCTAGAGGAGGAAGACTATACTCAAGAAAGTCAAGAGTAAATTCATGAATATTTCTTGGAGCAACCAAAAACACGTGTATCAGTCCAAACAACCCTAAGCAGCCTTTCAAGGGCCATTACTTCTCACCCAATATAAGAAAATAAGACAGTTTAAGCAGCCCAAGCTGGATGGACGAAAAAAGATGGATATTATACAGTAAAAAAAAATTGAATTTAGGGGCATATAAGTGACAAGAGCAACTATTGACCATCGAATCCTCCTGCATGTGTGGTCAGGATTAGAACATAAAGACATGTGACTTTTAAAAGTGGTCATGTGACCCTATAGAAAATTTCTTATCTAGATCATTCATGTAAAATCCAATGGTCAAGTGCTCCTTTTACCTCTCACCATGAAACACTCTTCTCACCTGATATGACCCCAATATGTATGTATGTGTTTGTCTGTGTATCCTATTTGGTGCTGTTTCTGAGCAGCAATGAATTTCAGCTATGAATGCTTTAAGAGTCTAGAAAACGGCATGCTTTCTCTTCCTAGAAGTGATGCTCAATTGCTATTAGTGTGAGGCTAATATATCTTACTTTTTGTGTGTCTGTTCTTGATATTTTTGTTTACATTTAGATCAAGGGTTGCTGGGAACCTTAGTCCTCAAAATACAAGAATTTAATCTTGAAAAAATAAAACATAATAAGCCTGGAAATGAGAACTATATACCTTTCCAACATCATTTCTCCCCAAATCAACTAGCATTACATGCTCTGCACATTGCTTTTCATCATTCAAAAGGTCTTTCTCCAACATGATATCTTCTTTTGGTGTTTTTCCTCTTCTAACAGTCCCAGCAAGGGGCCTATTGGTGATTTTTCTCTGTCAACAAAGATATGTAATGCCGATTAATATTTGTTAGACCAGTAATGGAGTTCATAATGTTAACAAGTAAGTCTAGTAAAATGGCAGAAACTCGAAAGAAGAGTTAATGAACATGAACAAGGCTAACTATAATAAATTATTTACATTGTGTAGGAAGAAAATTAAAAGATAAAGCCAATTATTTGAGTAATTGTTGCACAAGGTTACCTTCTTCACTCGTGTAAGAATTTCTGGACTTGAAGCAACCAAAATACTCCCTCTGGCCTGATACCGGAATATATTCCAACAAGTTATCCTTTGAATGCAAGCTTAATATTAAAAAATCATGTCAGAAGAAATTGGCAAACCTGTAAATAAGTCATATATGGACTAGGATTAACAATCCTCAGCGCTCTGTAGACTTCAAAAGGATCTGCAAAAGTTCGCTGCTCAAACCGTTGACTTAGTACAATTTGAAAAATATCACCAGCCAGTATGTGTTCTTTAGCCTGCAATACCGCCTTCTTGTATTCCTCATTTGTCATGTTTGACATCTCCAGTTTAGGACCAAAGAGACTAGTGTATAACTTTATTGAACCTGCAGGTAGTCTTGGGCTGAAATTGACAATTACAATTGAAGATACCTTAACAACCAAAAAGAACGCCACTCCTAAACTTAATTTGAAATGTTAAGCCAAGAATAAAAAACAATAGGATAAAATAGTTTACTCACGTAATTACATCATGCACACGAGATACTAGAGTTTCCAGTCGGTCCATTCCATCACTGAGGGCTTCCTCAGGAGAAGAATATCGATCTAACCGAACCCAATGAATCACATATGCTTTCTGGGTTGAACAAATTTAAATAAAGAAAATAGAAAATTCCTCCAATATCAAAACAGTAAAATCTTTCAGTGGATCATTACAATCAGAATTATTATCTCTCAATTGATTAGATGCAGTCATGACTTTCTCATAAAACATGTTGATAGCAAAAGAAAGAGTAAAGTGCTTATAATTAACATGATCTGTGTTCTAATAAATACTATTAACATAAAAAATGTGAATGAAGTTATAAATTGAAGCACAATTTTCTTACAAGAAATAATTACATTTGGAAAGAACAAGGAAAATATAAAGTACCTTTTCAACATGATCAAACACAATCACATTATCATAAAGGCCCAGATGAACATCAGGAAGGTTTCTGTCATCTAGTGGGGCATTACAAAAAGGAAGTTTCTTCTTTTCTACATAGCGCATAGTATCATAAGAGAAATAACCCACCCAACCACCTGTATAAAGAAAATGGCACACAGTCAAACATATATCATGAAACCCATGACAAAATTGCTTAGGTCTATTGAAACGAATCTTCTCAACAGTTGAAGTGAGCAAGAAATCTCAATTGGCGTGTGCAAAAAGTCATAGAACCATTCAATCTTTACATTGGCATTTACAGATACACTTAAAAGTTGGGGGAAAAAAAGTATAACCAGATATCTCTTTGGATAATCCAGTCATTGCAAAACAAGATCAAATTACAATACAGAAAAAAAGAAAACAAGTTAGGATGATTACTGGATGTCTGAACCTAACTACTTATGTACCAACCAATTTTTTTTGTATTTTTTTTTTTGTATTTATACAAGGATTCCTCCACCCCACACTCGCTAGTAGGGTTTAACTGGGAGTGGTTTTATTTATACACCAACCAAACTTGAAGACTTAAATATCACACACTGCAAACAGGGCCACCATGCTACAACTAACTAAATTGGAAAAATAAAGAAAATCGTAATTATGAGTCCATATCACATACCACAAAATGCTTCGGGAAGTTCATCAACTAGTTGGGGTGTCCACTTTTCCATGATCCTACGAGGAATGACCAATGGATCCTCAACAATTTCCTCAGTCCTGCTTCCTGCCTCGTGGTCCATAATAGTAACCATGTTCTCTTTTGCCACAATTTCCATACATGGCTGAGCACCGACCATGCTGTACCTCCCCTAATACAATTAAGGCAGACTAATTACATAACACCAGGCACATGCACATGTATAAAATAACGAGTGGAAATGTGCTTACGATACTGGACATCTGAAGGCCGGGCTCAACGCATTCAAAGAGAAAGCTAGGAGCATCCCTCTCATCCTCCTTAACCAAACACCGATAAGCAAGAACAGGAGTGAGGTGATCTGAAAATATGCATCGGTATAGAGGAATCACGTTCCCCTTCTTCGAACCTTCAATAAATTTATCTGCATTGTCAACTGAACCAAACACACCGTGAGTGGATCCACATAGCAATTTTCAGAACAGTAAATTCAAAATTAAAAAAAAAAAAATGAGAATAACCTAAAGGAGGAGATTGAGCTGAGCATTTGAGACTGAGAGGACTGTAAGTCCACCTGGTCCTGGATCTCGAGAGGAATATGCTTGGATGAGGTAAACTTGCAAGAGTTAGGATTTCCATCACCATTTCCAACAAACAGAGTGAGCAACAGAAACAAACAAACACAAATAAGAGCACAGTGATCAAACCGAAGAAGCTAAGTGCCGCCGCCAATTACTTCCACCGCTACTGCATGACTAGTTCATTTGGGCTTCAAAGCAGAGCCCAGTATATTTTATGGGTTTCAAGGCCCAATCCCATACTTACATTAAAAAGCACCATTCTTTTAATAAAACGGCATCGTATATCTCCCCTTGGTATCCCATTGTTACATTACATCAAACCGAAACGAAATCATCGTCTGCGTCTGCTTCTTGTAAGCACCGCCGGAATCACCACATTCCTGTTCTCGAATTCGCACCGTCGTTCATCACTTCTGTTCAAATTTCAGAACATCGCCTTGAGCTTCCTCTTACTACCCATTGCACCTGGAAGCATGAGTTTATATCATATTCATATAACTTGCCTCGTGTATTGCCTCTAGCTTTTTCAATTTGAACCTAACGATAACCGAAAGGGTGAAACTTTGAGAATATATCGCCCTCTGTGCCGTGCCGTGCCGTGCCGTGCCACGCCACGTCACACCCCTTCCCTTCTAAGACTTTTTTCTGGGTGTTGCGTTAAAGTTACGGTTGTTAGAGATTTTTGTGATTTCTTTTAAACTCATGGCCGCATGGTCTTCTAGAAAGTTACTGAGAGATTTTTTTCTCAAAAGGGTAGTTTCGAATCAACTTCCTGGCGTCAGATGTTTTTCTTCTGCACCAGAAATTGCTCCTAAGATCGGTCACTATTCTAAGAAAGTATGCTTTTTATTCCCTTTTTGTATATATATATGTGTGTGTGTGTGTGTGTGTGTGTGTGTGTGTGTTCGTTAACGTTATGCATTGTCTTGTTGATGTGTTTGCCTTCTGTTATAGCTGGGTTTTTCAGTCAAAAGATTAATTTTGAGGAAAATTTTGGGTTGGAAGATGCCCAATTCATTTAGCATGCTGCAATTCGCCAATGCATTGTGCACGTTGCAGAGAGTGATTTCATATGTTAATGTTTTGAAAGATCTTAGAGATATATCATGGAAACATATTTAAGAAAACATGCATTGTCTGTATTATGTGATTAAGTTTGTAGTTTACTTGTACATGTAAGCTGTAACTTATCTGGTTCTTGTTTGTGACTTTTGAGGTAGTTTACTTACCCTGATTTCTTTGAATTACAGGGACGGTTGTTCACAGGAGCCACCATAGGCCTACTTATAGCTGGTGGAGCTTATGTGAGTACTGTGGATGAAGCTACTTTCTGGTACTTCATTTGGGAGTTTGAGTGTTGTTTGCAGTCTGTTTTGCTTCTTTAATTCTGTGTTTAATTCATTATACTATATCCTTTTTATTTGAAGGAAAAAAATAACTTTTTATGTCCGTTGTGAAGGTATTCTTCTAAAATTTTACTTATGCAGAAGGAATAAGTAATTTCACATGAGAAAAATGATTGGTAATGCTTGATTAGAAAATGAAGTGCATGCCTTAAAAATGATTTAATTTGATTTCAAGCTTAATTTGATTTGAAGCTATCTTCCTTGCAGTGGATGGTTATTCTCAGCAACAACACTTGTGAATCCTTTTTTCGCTTTGTTGGACCCTGAGTTTGCACACAGACTAGGTGTATCGGCTGCAGCACGTGGTTGGGTTCCGAGGGAGAAGAGGCCTGACCCATCAATCTTAGGGCTAGAGGTTTGGGGAAGAAAGTTCTCCAACCCATTAGGTCTTGCTGCAGGCTTTGATAAAAACGCCGAGGCAGTAGATGGTTTTCTTGCTTTGGGCTTTGGCTTTGTGGAGGTTGGCTCTGTTACTCCTGTCCCCCAGGAAGGCAATCCAAAGCCTCGTATCTTCAGGTTGCGAATGGAAGGGTAAGAGTTTGTATTTTGTTTCTTTATACTTCTGTTGCCAATTAATAGATTGTTTCTGTTTCATCTTTCTAACTTTTATAATCACTTCAAAATATTGTAGAAGGGGTTGTTGGGAGTGTGAAAGTTGTTACTTTGGATAGGACGAAGTTTTTAAAAGTTTTTTTATGTTATCTACATTGTTGATTGTTCTAAGACTGATCAATTGAATGTGCAGTGCTGTTATAAATAGATGTGGCTTTAACAGTGAGGGAATTGTTGCTGTTGCAAAGCGTCTGGGTGCTCAGCATGGTAAGAGGAAATTAGATGAAACTTCTAGCACTTCAACTTCTTCCAATAATGAAGTCAAACATGGTGGAAAAGCTGGCCCTGGCATTCTTGGTGTCAATCTTGGGAAGAACAAGACAAGTGAAGATGCTGCAGCAGACTATGTTCAAGGAGTTCATACATTATCCCAATATGCTGATTACTTGGTAAAAAAAAAAATTCTTATATGCCTCTTGTAGAAAATAAAGGGAAGATAGAAAAATTATATGCCGCCACTTATCTTGCTATGATCACTGCAGATTATAAATAATGTAGTAGTTAGTAATATTTCCTTGTTTGACAGGTTTGACATGTATTGTCAAACATTTTATTTATTTTTTAAAGAAAAGATGATTTTGTCATTTTGATCCCTTATAAAATTATGCTTATGTCTAAAGCATGGAATTTCTGTATAGATTAACAATGAACTTTGACGGTGTATGGTCCATCATCTTCTTCGTTATAAAAGCAAACAAATTGAAATTTAAGTCTTCTGTGCGAAATTTTGGGTTAGTGAGGAAAAGAGGTCTGGGAGCATTATAATGATTAAAGAAATCAAAGATTTATACCAAGTATCATTGCCTTTACTGTTTGCTTAATTCTCCTTGTCCATGTCTAGGGACTGATTATGCTAGAATCTTAAGCTATTACAATATGGTCCATTGATGTTTTTCATTAATATCTTTAGCATACATACATCTTCTAATAAAAATCACCCGTCATTGAAATGTGGATGAAGCACATGTCTACCCAGGGTATGTGCTAAGATTATCATTTAATTTAAAGAATGGTGGCATCAAGGGTTTAGCTGATGACTACTTGGTCAAGGACCCTCTTCAACCATGTGAAGAAACCCAACTATCTTAAAAGTTTAATCTGTCAAGAGAAAGTCCTGTTGAGAAATATAGTCCCACATTGGTTGTATGGGCAACTAATGTGAGGTTTATAAGGCCTTGGGCACTTCCACCCTTTGAGCTAGCTTTTGAGGTGGTGACCTCAAGTTTCTTAACATTGTATCAGAGCCTTCGAAATCTCACCGCCTCCCACTTTCTTTGTAGTGGAATTTCCACATGTAGGTGGGCTTGTATGTTGTCCACCCTTTAAGCTCAGTGGGCTCTCGTGTGAGGGGACGTGTTGAGAAATATAGTCCCACATTGGTTGTATGGGCAACTAATGTGAGGTTTATAAGGCCTTGGGCACTCCCACCCTTTGAGCTAGCTTTTGGGGTGGTGAAATCAAGGTTCTTAACAAGTGCAATGATGATTTTTGTTAATATATCTAACACTTCTAAATTCCCTAGCAATAGGATTCTATTTTGATAATAAATTGGTGGTCTGCCAAGCATGCCTGTCTTATAACTAAGGGACAAGAATCAATGTGTCAATTGTAGGAAACTTAAATCTGAGATAGTTGTGCAACTGAGAAAAATGGTAAAATATCAGAAGTCCACTTTGGCCAACTGCATTCCCATTTTATGTTTGCTTAAAAACCACTCGAGGTAAATGCTTCAGCTAAATTCTTTTATTTAAAAAGAAAGTTCGTTATGGAGAGAGGATGGAAAATCAGCCATGGGAAGGATTTTATATCTTTCAAATTTCCCACCCAAACATTCTTCCAAAACATAATGTGAGTAATATGGTCACCCAAACGTGTGAGTATTAATATGAATGTTGCCATCTCCATTGCTACTGCCCTGGTTTAGAAAAATGAGAAAACTCATGTAGGAGAAGCTGAAAGGATGAGAGGGAATTTGCCCAGGAAATGGGTAAAGTTTAGTTAACACGGAAGAGAGGTATGTGAAACAACCAATATAGGATTCCCATTTTTTTTATAATTAAGTATCCATGCAGCTTAGCTTACCTCAAATTTTTGAGACGAATGCTTGGTATTCTGTTCTGTTTATGCTTTTATTCCTTCCTAGGTGATTAATGTTTCATCACCCAATACCCCTGGCTTACGCATGCTTCAAGGAAGAAAGCAATTGAAGGATCTTGTGAAGAAGGTAGAAACTAGATTGTGTAGCTTTCTCCACGTGTTTCTTGTATTTCATATTTGAGACATTGACTTTAGCAAAATTTGCTTTCTTCTGAAGGTTCAGGCTGCTCGTGATGAGATGCAATGGGGTGAGGAGGGCCCACCTCCATTGCTGGTAAAAATTGCTCCAGATTTGTCAAAAGAAGACCTTGAAGATATTGCTGCAGTAAGTATGCGCATGTTAGTGTATTTTCTCTGATCTGCATCATGCCATATGCTGTATAACGATTTATACTTTGATTATAGGTTGCCTTGGCTCTTCACTTAGATGGACTGGTATCTCTCTGCTCTATCACTAATTTCAAATTGTAGCAAAAACATAAAGCTTCAAATTGTGCAATCTTTACTTCATTTTCTCTTTATTTATTTATTTATTGTTTCCAGATTATATCAAATACAACCATTTCAAGACCAGATCCAGTCAGTAGAAATCCATTGGCTTCGGAAGCTGGCGGCTTGAGTGGGAAGCCTCTCTTCAATCTCTCTACCAATATTTTGAAGGATATGTATATCTTGACAAGGGTACGTTTGTTGGTTTTATATTGTGATTTGTAAACTGTACTGAGATAAGAGTAGATTTAGTGCATCCAATCCTATCTCTCCAATGCATGCCACTACTCTGGATGGATGATGCAAGCAATATAGTATCCGCCGTTGTTAATTTATACACTCATAAGCACTTATATATGCTAGTAACCAATCCTTTCTCTCTTTTTTTCTTTTTTCCTTTGTTGTGATTTACTTATATATGCTAGTCACGCTTAACAACTTGTCTCTGTGAATTCATGTATATCAGGGAAAGATTCCTTTGATTGGTTGCGGTGGCATTAGCAGGTAAAAACTACATGATTCTTCACTCCTTCATTAGCGCAGTTGGTTTCTAGCTATCTGTTTTGGTATTCTTTTTATCATTTGAAAATTAAATTAAATTATACAATAATTTCTCTGATCCTTGTATATCAATTTAGTGGTGAGGATGCATACAAGAAAATACGTGCTGGAGCAACTCTTGTTCAGCTCTATACCGCATTTGCTTATGGGGGACCTGCACTTATTCCTCAGATAAAGGTATTAATCTTGCACGTGTTCATGATTATGGTTGATGATTCTAAAATCAATTAGCATATGCACCAAAATTCTCATTCTCATTCAATTGGTTTTAGGCTGAATTAGCTGCATGCTTGGAACGAGATGGTTTCAAATCCATTCTTGATGCAGTTGGTGCAGATTGCCGATGACTTTTATCCACATCTGAATGCCGTGCTGTAAAGGCACATTATTATCATTATAGGCGTAGCAATGTTCCTTTTTTGACAATACTGAATTTGCAAAATCTTTTTATTTATTGTTTTTTTTTTGGGCTTCCTTTAATTTATGGGTTATATTTCTACGTAGCAAAAGGGAAGATTTCTTCTCCTCTCATAGACACAGAAATATTGTGGGTTTCATTGTTCAGAAAAAGAGAAAAAATTTGGAGTGGGTCCCCATCTTTTTGAGTCGGTAGAAAAAACCAGTTGTCTCCTATAGCAAAGACTATGATTTCTCTTAATTTATACCTGATTTTGTCTTATATATTGTTAATTTGTTGGGTTTGGCCACATGTTCTGAATTGTAAAAGCAAGGGTTATTGAGGCAATTCAGGCAAAATTTGACAATAAATTGCCAATTCAGTGAGAAAATACTCGTCTAGATTAGATCCACGAATTATTAACATATTATTACGTGTCACAGAATTTGTGATTTTGAATATAAAGTGATAATATCTTGGTTGTTGATTGATTAGTTTACTCAACTTGTAAGTCCAAGTAACATAAACCCCACTTTCCATTCCCTCTATCTTTTCCTCCTAAATAAGTATTGTCTTTTTCACATCTTGGTGGTGACCAACAGCACTGTTCAAACAATCTTGTGTAAATAAGGTCTACAGAATTATTTCTGCAGATCATACAACTTGGAATATGTTGTGGACCACTTATATCGTGTCCACTCCATATCCCCACTACATGGAGCATCCCATTTCACCACTTTCCCTTAACTTTCATTAACTACCAATAACCACCCATTAGGTATAGATCATGCCATTAAGTCACCTACAAACTACCCACTAGGGGCAGAATCTCCTAGTGCATTCATCTATATATAATCTCTTATAGCTAACAAAGGGGATTATCTCATAACTCATCTAGAAACTCATCTGATAACTTATCCTGGCCACCATGGCTACAACTTACATACTTGTCCTCAGAGCACTTCCTATCCACTGCAGGTGACTCACACACACACACACACCTTGTTCATCCCATCCGACTTTGGCCTAAGGTGCAAGACTTTTCATTGCCTGTCATCTTTACCATAAGCTCCGTAGATACAAATACTAGCTATCATGTTAGATAATTAATGTTCACTCCAGAACATTTGGCGCCGTACGTGAGAATCGATAAATTTTGATTTCCACTCTATTACCATTTGACGCATCAACGTCCCCGCACTGGACGGGCAACACTCCTGGTCCACCATACAATTGTAGAAGCCAAATGACTTCAAGTAGAAAAAGTCGAGTTGTTGGCACTTTATCTCTTTTTTTTTTTTTTCTACGATCTGTGGGTTGACGTCCATGCAAGGATTATAAGCTAAGTATCTTTTCTTTTCAGCATTTTTATCTCACAACTCCAACTTCGCATGTTTTTCATATTTCACCCTTGTTTTTGGTTCTCTTTCTTCAATATGTGATAAGATGCTACTTATTAAATCAAATACTGCTCTTAAAAGGAGATAGTATTTCATTCTTTAAAAAAAAAAAAAAAAAAAAAAGACAAATATTTTTTGAAATAATTTTGTCACGAAAAATTATAAGCGGAAGTCATTCTCTCTTTCTCATTTTTTTTTTTTTTCCCTTGACCTTATGTGCACTGTTCACGTCTAGAGGAAAAAAAAATGAAGTGCAGATACAGTTATTTTTGTAAAATGATGCAGTTACTTTATATTATAGTATCTCCACTAAATACAGTTATTAGCAATTATCCCACTAAATGCAATAAGCACTCTTTTGATCTTGATCTTCATTTATTTGTTTTTAATTCACATCACTCAAGGCAGGGGTTAATGTACTTCTTTTTTATCTCACTAACTTTTGTTTTCTAAGGATGAATGCTTTTAGACAAGCCATCAAATATAGATGATGTGAGATGTAACACCAAGAAAGAAATCTCATTAAAGCTACAACAACAACAAATGCTGACCAGAACTAAACATTGAGCACAGAAGAATCGACCAAGACAAGACAACGTGAACCAGCCAGAAAAAAAACAATATAAGCTAAGTTTTTTTTTTCCCCCTCTAACTCAATCATAAAACACAATCTTATTTTAAAGGATAACGATGAAGAGAAGGATAGTTCTTTAAAGTCAGAGTATTTTGTTTTTTATTTTATTTTATTATCATTTTTTTTCTCATATTATTATTTTCTCTGAATATTTCTCGCTAAATATAGTATGAGTTGTGTACATGCTACCCCACTATGATGTTTTTTCAAGTTTATATCTTAAAGATTATTAATTGTGAACGTGATCAAGATATTTTCTGATTTCTAGGGAGCTTTCCAATGGATGAGTTAATTTTCCTAAATAAAAAAAAAAAAGTACAACTTTAGGGAAATATATTGGGACAGGATCTGTTTACAAACTTTTTTGAATTTTTTTACAAATTACACTATGTTCTCTCGGGAGAACATAGTGTAGTTTGTAAGAGTTTGTATTCTCCCCGGAGAATATAGTATAGTTTGTAAGAGTTTGTAAACAAAAAAGTTTGTAAATATAACTTGCCCCAATATATATCATAAAAAGAAGAGGCACAAATCTGGCATGCCTAGTATTAGTAATAACTGAACTGAGGAGAGAGTGGTAACTGGTGCGAAGTTTACTGTACTTTACCCATTTTACTCACATAAGGAATCTAAGACGTGTCAGTTGGTTACAATTTAGTTGGTTACATATTTTTATTTTGGAACGCAAGGCAAAAAAGAAAATAAATACCACAATTTCTGGGCAATGGCATTAGTCGGTTATCACTTGGTCAATTACCCCTAGTGTTTAGGAAATACATAAAATATTCTGGATATTTCCAAGATTCAAAAAATAAAATAAAAAATGGTAACTTTGGAAACTTAAAAAAGAAAAGAAAAAACCAAATTTGGTGGGTTTGCTATTATTATCACTGTATTTAATCTTTCTTCTCGTTCCCTTTCTTCAATATGTGATGAGCTTATTCTTAGTTGCATATGATGATAATAGTTGTATCTTAATATTGTAAGGGAAGACATAACAAACCTAGAGAGGAAGATAGATAAAACTCATAAAAAAAATATACAAGATAATGATAATGTGTCCTCTCTTTGTTTTGTTTTGACGTTTTTATTAAAAAAAAAAAGAATAAGAAGAAGAAGAAAAAAAAAAAAAGACATGCATGGATTATTCTTTTAAAGATGAAGAAGATATAGTCATTTCCTTTAAGATGTTTTTTGTAGCAGGATTATCCTTTAACAAGATCACAAGGAGATTATTCTTTGACAAGATCACTAAACTAAAAGAACTCGGAACTCCAACTAAATTGTACCACTACTCCAATGTCAGAAAATGAAGGTTGTTGGGTAATCCGCCAGATGTGGTTACAAGAAAGCTCCATACAGGTCCTTGCATAGAGCGGAACTCGAAATACTAATCAATTGCACCACTACTCTAATGCTAGAAAATAAAGGTCATTGGACAACCTGCGAGTAACCAGGTGTGAAAATTCCAAGTTCTACATTATTAATTTTAAATATATTTTCTTTTATCATTTGTATCAAAACCATGATCATAAATGAACCACATTTTTAGGTCTTAAAAATATGGTCGAACCACTTTTCAATTTAAAAATCAAAATAAGACATGCATGGATAATTATACTAGGCAATTATTCATGGCTTCTATAGTTACTCTCATTAATAATGATAAAGTTATTGGTATGTGGACCCGACTTTTCGGGGATGTAAAAGTCAGGATGCAATAGAATGCATGAAGTTATGGAGTATATCATTTGCAATTTATAACGGGTTATATCATTTTTTGTATTACCTACACGTCATTACATTAAAAAGGAAGGCACTGTAATGTTATAGTTTAATATTGTCAAATTGAAAATCTATGTGTAATTATATATATGTGTGATACATTTCTGGTATATGAGTCCTACATATAATACTCATTCATTATATATCGTGAAGCATGTTATAGCAATTTTTTAACAATTATTGGCAATGATCAATATCCCAAAGCAAGAAAGTGAAGTCAGCATATCAAGAAATCCAGAGCATTTATTAGTAATTGCTTCCATCATCAGTGTCCCAAATTTGGAAAATGAGCAAATTGCGCATTACAAGTTGTATCTTAAATTACTCTATCTTTTCCTTTTGTTTATAGACTTTTTTACTCTAACAATTGATTGACATCTTCATTGCAAGTTGCATGTTTCCTGTTTTTCAGGGGGGAACATATCTACCAGCATCATAAATCACGAATGAAGCAATCATAATCCAGCTACAAAACTAAAGTCCCTTGCCGCCAGAAATGGCCCCTTGGACACCCGCTCAATTCCTACTCGGAAGCGGGAATATAAAGTCCCTTGCCGCATTGATTGGCCTCCTGGGCACCCGTTCAATTCTTACTCGGAAGCGGGAATATAAAGTCCCTTGCCGCCAGAAATGGCCTTTTGGGCACCCGTTCAATTCCTACTAGGAAGCGGGAATATAAAGTCCCTTGCCGCCTTGATTGGCCTCTTGGGCACCCGTCCAATTCCTACTCAGAAACGGGAAAATTAAAAGTCCCTTGCCGCTAGAAATGGCCTCTTGGGCACCCGTCCAATTCCTACTCGGAAATGGGAAAACAAAGTTCCTTGCCGCCAGAATTGGCCTCTTGGGCACCTGTTCAATTTCTACTCGGAAGCGGTAAAATTGTTGAACATTTGATTCTGAATTATCCTAATCAGCGCACAAGACATCATCATATAGTGTTCTCACACCCTACTCAGGTACGCAATAAACTATTATTATTTTTATATATTGCAGGTTTAGGCTAACAAATCCGAGAAACCACCTCTAGCTTCAAACTCAGAAGCAATTACAAACCCGGAGACGACTACAACCAACGAGCAACACGATAAAGCAACTTGGAACTCGGAAGCATTCGCAAACTGGGTTTTCCCGGCATTCATATCCTTTTTCACAACACTAAACATTATTTGATAGGCACGGGGGCTTTACTTTTACCCCGACATTCTGACTATGCACAATGCCAGGCTGGGGGGCTTATGTTGTGGACCACTTATATGGTGCCCACTCCCTATCCCCACTACATGGAGCATCCCATTTCACCACTTTCCCTTAACTTTCATTAACTACCAATAACCACCCATTAGGCATAGATCATGCCATTAAGTCACCTACAAACTACCCACTAGGGGCAGAATCTCCTAGGGGGTGTTTGGTTGAGGAGAAATATTATGAATGATAGGGAAGTGTTATGTATAGGGAAATGGGTGGGAAGTGAGATTGGTAGG